GCAGACTCGTGATTGCAACCCCTCCTCCTCCTCCCCAGCCCCCCCACTCAAAGAATTGCTTTAATTGTTTCGATAGAGGTGGCGTTAAGGATTTAGGCTGTAAAGAAGGAAAAACAAAAAACTGACTACAGCATTAAAACAGCTGAAATACGGCTCGGGATGAACAGATTCGCACACCAGTACTAATTACCCTGTAATGTCTGCACTGTTTACAGGTAAACATAAGGAGCTGTGTGAGTGCTCTCGTGTTTGTGCAATAAACAACCAGGGCTTGTTGTGGCTACATAGAGCACAGAGGTGTGGCAATGCTTACACATGGAAAGCTTTGCCATTGGCCTCATTCAAACGGCAGATGGAAGACATTGGCGATACTTTTTCTGATCTCAGGTGGAATACAAACTGTTTGCACAAGTCACACGAGAAGTGACAAACGTTCCAAAGACAAATTACAAGGCACAAGTCTCTTGCTAAACACTTTCTTTCTTTCTTTTTCTTTTTTAAATACTTCCTATCTATTGCTGCCTTCATCCATTCTGGACTGCCTCATACTGGACGGACGGCAATGATCACAAGACACTAAACACAAGGCGCGCAGGAGAAGGTTCATAGCTTGCTGGGAGTCAGAACAAAAAAAGGTCTCTTTGTCAGGGAAAGGCATAATGTTCTTTAACTATCTTGCGATATGACTGTGCTGCATGTTGTTTTTCAGGCAGGGTTGCCCCATCAGCTTCTCTTAAAAAGAGCTTTAACGTGAAGCCCTACCTTAAACTTAGCAGCGACGAGCGAGTGACATACAATCACTGGCATGATGCTCAGATTTCTTCTGTGTTTATTTATTTTTTAATAATTTATTAACAGCTGATAGACTGCTAAAACCTTCCAAATGCAAAACTATTACACAATTTATTTATTTAAAAAAAATAATTTAAAACTGACTCGATTTATTTCACTTGCACTGCTGAACGGGGGTTTAATCTCTTTGGATTGTCTCTGTTTTTTTTCTGTGGAGTATTACTTTATTATTTTTATGATACAATGCTGTAATAACTTCAGTGATATTTCCCACAGTCTGGGGTCATTACAAAACCCCTTATACCGAGAGAACATCAATCCAACGCTCAATCATCTGGTTTCCATTACTCTAGCGGCAAAATCGCCCAGACCAATCTCATTAAATGCTTTAAGCTGTCTTTCTGTGACCATCTGTTGATTGCGAGGACAGAGAAATAACCTGGTCTGAAGGTGAACTGCAGATAATATTCTTACCTTTGGGAGAATTCTGGACATCATTAAACAGAGTTTTGTTTGTACTGTAAATCATCAGTACAGTGGTGATGTTTTCCATGTTCCTCTGTGTTTCTCTTTTTCGCACTTCAGCTGCAAAGGCAGCTCCTATTCTTAATTCTTAAGATTTTGTTTGTCTCCATGTTAAGATTTTGCTGTGTACCTCCCTCCCTCAACTGAAATCATTAAAGATGCAGCAAGAAGATTAACTTGAGTGTTGCTGGTTGAATTTGTAGTTGTAGACATTTTTTTTTTTCCAGATCAATAACTGCATCAATCGCATGAGCAACCCCATCAATCATCTCCTTTCTCTCGTGCCCTCTAGGTACCTCCTGCTCTTTACCTCTGCGTGTGTCCTTGCACACACGTGTGTGTGCGTGTGTCCTTGCACACACGTGTATGTGTGTGTGTGATGTAGGTAGGGGGTGAAATGAAACAGTAGGACAGGATGAAAGAGGAGTGACATTTTGAGTAAGGTGGGATGCTGCTATCCCTCAACAAAACACTGCCCCCATGCTGGACTTTTATCACAAATGTAGCAAAACCTGCGAGCTAGTAAGACAACACAGCCATATTGCATCATACACACAACAGACCTCATTCTCCTCATGTCATTTACCAAACACACTCTCTCAATTTGGCATCTATTTACGCTGCAGCATCCCTCTGACATGTCAGTACTGCAGCAGCTGACCTGTACAGCTGACCCCTCCACCACCCCAACATCCACCTGCAGGATTTAGGAGGTCACAGTTAGATCCACTATTTGCTCTAGAAAGACAGAGTTGTTTGCAGCTTCACCTCTGTACACCACTGCAGTGGTGCAGAATTTCAGCTTAAAATCAGTGGATTTTACAAAGACCTTGCATGAGCTGTTGAGGAATTGCAGCCATTCTTATGCTAAGTCCCACATTTTCAGAGGCTCAAATTTAACCGGACAGTTGACTGACAGGTACTTTCACGCCCAGATGAAGGCTGTTCCCTTGTTATTTCATGCCAAATGGAGCAGGCATAACATCTGAAGTTGATTCAAAGTGTTTACTTTGTTTTGTTTTTTATAGCTGTCACTTTAATGTTAATTATGAGACCTAAAGAGTGAAGGAAATCATCATTAGGCTGAAAACCCCCCAGAACACCATCAGAGAGACAGCAAAAACCTACAATGTGATGCATTGTTAAAAAGATTGAATTCACTGATCAGCGTAGCAACACTAAATAGCCTGAAAGACCACAGAAGATAGCTAAAGTGCATTAGGCCAAAATTCTTTTCATTGTTTAAGAAAAATAGCTTCTCAATTTCTAACCATGTCAAGACGACACTCGCGGAGGTTGGGGTATCATTGTCAAGGTCTACAATCAAGAAATGCCTTCATGAATGTAAATGCAGAGGGTTTACAATCAAGGTCTACACTGAAGACCAGAAAAACCAGGTGAGACTAGAAGACATCTAAAAGCACTCACACTCTCTGCTCAGATACATCCAAACGCCACAAAACTGATCAGACAGTGCTTCACGGTGCAAATGGATAATGTACCCAAAACAAACTGCAAAAGCAACTGAAGAGTTTTTCAAGGCAAAGAAATGGGATATTCTTCCATGGCCGAGTGAGTCACCTGATCTCTGATGGGGATTGTGTATAAAATGTCTGTAATTCCTGATAAGTTAATGCAAAGCTTTTGTTAAAAACCTTGAATTAAAGCTGAAAAATCTGCTCTTCAGTCTTAATGGTTTGATCTATAATCCACCGTCATTGTCTCTTTGTCCAACAAATTAAGGACCCAACTGTATTTAACTTATACTTTCCATTATCACGTGTAACAATTTTTGGGTGGAATGATAGTTTAAAAAGTCTAGAGGCCAGCACAAACTATATTCTGCTGCTGTGATGAAATCATTTAATTTGTGAACTTTCTGACTGAACTTGGGGTTCTGCATTGACAGCCTTATCATTAAATGCACAAATTTCACAAATAATGTGAATACGAATAAGAATAGATAAGAATAAGAATAATTTATTCTAACAAGGGGTAAAGACTAAGTCATTGCAGCAGCCCATGCAAAACATGCATGGTTACTCAAGTTATAATTATTTTTATTATTTTTAAAAAATATATATATACACATATTAAACTAAAACTAAAGCCACTACTATGTTTTAGTAATGTTTAATTGCTTTGTGTATGGACTATACAACACCGTAGCTCGTAAGGTAGCAGGGGACTTAGTTCCCCTCTTTGTTTATTGTTATCGTAAGTTTATATGTTAATAGGCCACATGCAGCACTAGTTACTGTAAGCTAATTTCTTTTTCATATGCAAATACATATCAGCATATCCCCTTTCTGTATTCACCAGATACATCAAAACACAGAGGACACAAGCATCATCTGAGGCTCCACCACAGCTTTCTGATTATTTTAATTTTCATACACTCTCGTGTGCTGCACCCCATTGGACAGAGAGACTCATAGCTTTAATGTCGAGCAGCAGCGGGAGCCTCCTGCAGTGCACAGAAACAGTTCAAACAGCCTGACCTTTCGATAGGCTACAACACGCCCAGTGAAAGTGCCCAGGGACTGATGCCAACATCAAGTCAATGTGACATGATGGCAGCATCCCACACCTGCACCCAGTGGCCCACCGTCAGTGGGTGTAGTAACGAATTGCCTCTTATAAACCAAACATTTAAACCGAGGCCTACGAGCCTCTAAGCTCTGACAAACAGGCTCACAGCTACTAAAAAACAAAGTGTAGGTCAAACAAGAGCTCACACGAATTTCTCACTTACTTCCCAATCCTGACTTCCCTGAAATCAGCTGTTGCCCTGGTAACCTGTGCTGATGACAGTGGTGTGAAGTTTGTTTGGCAGCAGGAGCTGGGGAAAAAACGATATTTTATAAAAGGTTATTGCATCATTTATAAAAAACAAAACAAAACAACCAAACATTAAATTGTCCCTCTTAAAATACATGTCACATATAAAAGTATTCTTAGAATGGCACCTATGTTTTTTTTAATAGTCTTTTAAAAAGATGGTAGATATAAAATTCAAATTATCTTTGGTTGCATTAGGACACGACAAAGAAAGAAAAAGGTTAGTCCACTGACATAAGTGTAATTCTTTTAAATTACTGATACCAGTAAATATTATCTGCTTCCAGATGTTCAAATGTAGTGAACTTTTTAACTGCTGAGATTTCACAACAAAAGGGTCAATAAGCTAATCCAGATGGAGATAAAAATGACCAGGATTGTCACATCAATCCAACACACATAAAACACTGGATACATCTGTCACTCATTTCACGTATTTAACGTGTAAAATCTTAATTCTAAACATTAGCTTAACTCTGCTAATACTGCTGCATTTAACCGTTCCGATAATAAACGCGCACGAACCTCCAGGCTCATTGAAAGGTGTGCCCCCAAACTATTTCCTGTTCAAAAAGTCAAAGTTATATCTAATAGCTGGAGGAAACCGTTTTTTGAGCCCCTCAACCTCTCTGGGCAGGCACAATATCATACAGACTGAATAAAGGTTAATTGAATTCCGCATTTCAATGCGCTTCATTCGTGAGTCCCCAGAGGGCGCAGTCACACCACACAAAACTCTCCTGCCTGTACTTCAGAATGAGCTACAGAGAAAACTTGCAGATAACCTTCACGTGGTCTAAACATTACAGCTCAAAGCTTTAAGAAGTAGACTACATTTATTTAGACGAGCATTACTTCTGGGAACACAGGCAGAAATAGGCTACATAGCAGGTTGAATGGAGTTGACTACATTTCCCGTCAGCCCCGTGGTGAGCGTCAATTTTCCCTTTTCAGCAGGGTTTTCTTGGTCCGCAGCTGGATCAGCTGGTTGGACGCTCCGCTGTGCGGCAGTCACTTTTTGGGGGGCGAAAAAGAACATTTGGTAGTTTTTATTGGACTTTTTCACCGGAAACGCTGGATTTGGCTCCTGATTTTCACACAGTTTTCATATTTAATTTCTTTCTTTTTATTTATATGATTTTAGCTGTAAGTGTCGATAAATTGGATTTAAGTATTTTATGATTTGAAAAGTTATATTTGATAGTCTCCTGGTAGTGAATGGCCTGGAGCTGTGCGAGCTCAGCAGCATCAGACTGTGGGTTTAGTTGGACTGAGGCTCCTGTGCCAACGCCTTTCCCCCCCTCTCTCTCTCGGCTTCGCCCTGCGTTGGGGAACTTCAGCTCACGCCGAGCTCAGAGCTCGTTGGACGGTGTTTTCAACTTATGAGCTGCTGAAACCACAGTCCGTCGCCTAAGAATTAGTTTGAAGGAAAAAAAATGGGGTGCACGATCAGCGCCGAGGACAAAGCTGCGGTGGAGAGGAGTAAAATGATTGATAAAAACCTGCGAGAAGACAGAGACAAATCCTCCAAAGAAGTGAAACTACTTTTACTCGGTATGAACTTTATTTACAGTCTCTCTCTCTTTTTTTATGTACAGCAGATGTTGTGTCATCACACGACTGTATGAGAAGTCCACTTTTAATATTCACTTCTTTAGTGTGGGATCGTTTTAGGTTTTAGGTTGACTCCAAACACTCCTCCCTCCCCCTCCTCCTGTCAGCTTTAAGCAGCTGCGGCTCATCGCTTCTCCTCTTCCTTCAGAAGTAAACCAGATGTTGGTGGTGAGAGGGCAAATGCAAGTCCTTAGCCACCTCATTGGTTTTCAGTCTGTGTTGCATTGCTGAAATTGGGAGTACTTGCCCAGAGCTGACAAGTGTTGTCACTTGCCTCGGGTCTGTTTTACATCAGTGCTTACAGATTTAGAGCTGCAGGTAAAAGCTGGTCTGGGGTCAGTCTGTTCTGGTACTTGAGAACAAGTGCATTTAAAATGAATTGTATTGGAGCTTCTGAAAGAGCTGAGCTTGACATTATCACAAGTTCATGGACAAAAGTGTCCACCTGTGATGAGCTGTGCTGCACTGGCAATCTGTGCATACAGCCTGCAGCCACACCAAGACTGATATGCCTGCATATGCAGTTAAATGAATGAGCAACCCAATCAGTTAATCCGCTCATTATTTAAGGTCTGCATATTTTTAGTGTTCTTCACCTTAGTCATTTCTAAATGTAGTAATTTAACTTCTTTTAGAATCGTTTTGTCTTTAGCCAAAGCAGTTTGTTGCTGTGGTGAATTTCAGGCAGAGGATCCTGCCGACCACACAAAAGGTCAGGCCTTATCTTCACAGTGTGTGCAGATTTCAGCATGCTATAACTGTATGCTGTATTGTTACACTGTCACTGTGGATGTGGGGTATTAAATTAGCCCAGTCTAACAAGGCTTAGTGTTTTTATTCTCTGTGCCTGTGGATGTATTTCATGGTGTAAATGTGTAAGAACAGAGAAAGATCCTGTAATTGAATATGATGTCTGTTAAAATATTCATGTAAATACCATCGGACTTGCCTAAACTTGAGACAACAGGGTAGATTCTTTTGTTTTCCATTCTGGAAAAAGAAGGAGAACATCAACATCAAAAAGCTCCATTAAAATTTTATGGTCTGTTGATCTGGGCCTGCCCAGATTTGTGGTATTTTGTTTCTAAACTGAGCAGAGAGACGACTGTGATATTTTTTGTGCCATCTGTTGTTTAAAACAAAAAAAAGACTTATCAGTGCAGAAAGTGAACCAACCAGACAATTAAACATCCTTTACTGTGTTTGACCTTGCCTAAAGTATTAGTATAACAGAAAATATCATATCGTAAACGCTCCCAGATGAGCAACATATTAACTTTGCTGTTCACACTCATACTGAATGCTAATCGCTGTCATTTCAATATAATGAACTATATGTGAAGATGATCACAAGAATATGATACAGAGATTTAGGAATGGGCGTAAACCAAAGCAGAAGAAGAGTTATGGGTCGTAAAACTAAAGGAGAGAGGTGGAAGATGTTGTTTGTCACTATATGAGACCGCTGTCTAACACACAGTTTTATTCACGTAACAATATCATACGTAACATACCATTCTTTGGGTACACTTTGCTAGTAGCAGGTATAATCTCCTGTTTTAACTCTTCATGATTCAACAAGGTGCTAAAAAAACATTCCACAGGGATTTTGGTTCACATTGACATGACAGCATCACACGGCTGCACATTCATGATGTAAATCTTCCTCCACGTCCCAAAGGTGCTCTGTTGGATTGAGATGCGCAGACTGTGGAGGCCATTTGAGTGCAGTGATCATTGTTATGTTCAAGAAACCACTTTGAGATGATTTGAGCTTTGTGAAATGACCTGGGGCGTTATTCTGCTGGAATGACCAATCAGAAGATTTGTACACCGTGGTCATAATGGCATGGATAGAGTCAGCCACTGTACTCAGGAAGGCTGTCGCGTTTAAACAAGTGTGAAAAGAAGTGTGTCAAATTCTGACCTTACTGTCTGAATGTTGCAGCACAAATTAAGACTCATCATCATTTTTCCAAACTTTTATTGTGCAATTTTGGTTAGGTCGTATGACTCGTAGCCTCAAGTTCCTGTTCTTAGCTGACAGGAACGGCACCCGCATTGGTGTTACGTTGCTGTAGCCCATCTGCTTCAAGGTACAACATGTTGTGTAGCCAAACGTGCTCTTCTGCATACCTTGATTGTATCCAGTGATTATTTGAGTTACTTTTGAGTTGCTTTTCTTATCAGCTCTAAACAGTCTGACCTTTCTCCTCTGACCTTTTGTATCAACAAAGCGTTTTAGCCCAGAGAGCTGCCACTCACTGGATATTTTCTCTTTTTTGGGCAATGCTCTGTAAACCCTAGAGATCATCGTGAAGAAAAATCCCAGTAGATCGGCAGTTTCTGAAACACTCAGATCAGCCAGTCTGGCACCAACAACCATGCATGACGTTCAGAGTCACCTAAACAACCTTTCTTCTCTATCCTGATTCGCAGTTTGAGTGTCAGCAGGTCATTTTGATCATATCTGTGTGCCTAAATGCATTGACTTCTTGCCATGTGATCAGCTGATTAGATATTTTTGTTAAAGAGCAAAGTGGCCAGTGAGTGTTAATTTCGTCACGCAGCAGGATGCCAGAACATAGCGCTGTTTGTAAATTACAGTTTTTAATGATGGTGGAAAATCTACTCATAAAACTGTAGAAAGTGTTTATTCATGATTCAGCTTGGACAGTTCAAAGGAACAAATGAATTTGTCAATTACTGTAACTGTGGTGGTAAATCAGAAAGATAATCAAAGGTAAAGATATTGTCTGTGATTTTTTTTTTTGGAGAGACAAAGTGTAACGTAATACCCTGAAATAACATTTTGTTTTTTAGGCACCACCCACTTAACCTCACTTAACATGAATATTTTCCACTAACAGGAACTGCACTGTGTGAACATTTGCGGTTGTTGATCAAGACTGAGATGATTTTCATGCTTCTCTATATCTGATTTCCTGCTTTCCCCCCCTTGTTTGTGTTCTGTGTCACATTCTGGATAGAGGCATTTTTCTCACAATGAGGCAGCTTTTCCATCAGTGCGCTGTCCTTTGTGTCTGCAATGATTTTTTGTACCTTGATTTAAAAGATAAGACAGAACTAAACTCTGCCAGTAAATCTACTTACTGTATTTTTTGAGCCATTACTGCCCACAAGTGTTAGGTTACCTTTTATTTTTTCTCCACTGTTAGGTTAATAGACTACAGCATGGCTGTTGTTTGGGAAAAAATAAAGCTGCTAGGTTAAAAATAGATTCCACATGAAGTCACATATGTGGGTTTTGGATACACACAAATCCTACCAGCAGATATACGAGGATTGACTTCAGGTGGAAAAATGTGGCGCTATAATACTAAATTCAGGCAAAACTCTTACTGTATGGAAAGATTTATTGTCAAATTTTGACCTCAGAGATTTTTCCAGGCAGTGCCCTTCACTCCCTGTCTGTACGGGAAGAGGAGAGTTCATGGGAAGAACAAAGAGGACTTCAGCTGCTGTGCTTTATTCAAAACCACAAAACCTTAGAGCCAGCTAACCCATCCAATGAACAGTCTCCTATTTGACCACAAACAATGATTCATAAGTTGTTTTTTTTTAAATCTGCATTTCAGATTGTTGTTAAATGAGGCTTGGTTTGGAGTCTAATTCCTGCCTGTGTTTCTGGCTCCCTGTGTAAAGTTGGTTTTTTAATTGGCAGCAGGCCATGCTTGACAATCAGCCAAAAATGCCATGAATGAGAGAACTGGTTGCTGACAGAACTGAGAAGTGGGATCAACACACTTTGTCTTCTCCCCTCTGTCTGATGAGCCCGATGAGCATAAATCTCTCTGGCTGCTGACAGCTTAACCAAAGAATTCATGGATTTTATTCTTGCTGGCCGTCCATCTGAACACGATACTGTATTCTGAGCCTCCTTGACAAACTTCATCTGCTGTAGATTCCTGACTGGCAATGGGAATGTGTCTCATTTTGAGGGATTCATTGTGTTAAGACAATGTAGCTTACTGGGTGTTTTAACCTCCTAAGACCCAAACTCTTCCATTGCATGCATTTTTAATTTCTGTTTGATATTTGGGCTGATTGGGACCTGATGAATGTAAAAACAAACAATTACCAGATTTTTTTTACCTACTTTTTGTTTCTAAGAAAATGAGAGCCACAAATGAGGATATTAGTTTAAAATTTTGATAGAACAGTAGCAGTATAATGTCCTCGTAAGTGGATATCAGGCTCTGTAGAGCAAAATCGAGTATTTTGGTCTAAATAACCCAAAATGTGATGTCCACATATGTGGACGCCAGGTCCTAGGAGGTTAAGGAAGAAAGCAGTCGCCCATATTTCAAAACATTTAGTTACATTTACAATAATCTTTTTACTTTTCTTTTCTTTTTTTACGTTAATGTAACCTTTTGTGAAGTGACTACACAGCTCAGATGACGATGACAATATTTTCCCTGTTGGCTTCTCCCCTCACTCTCTCACTGGCGTGCCCTCATCTTTGTTATATTCTGTGCAACGCTTATTGGGAAGCTTTCTCAACACTTACACTTACACATGAAATTGTTTTGACTAAAATATTATTGTATGCACCTTACGTGTCTTTTGTCAGGTCCGCTCACACGTACACTGAAAAAAAGGCCATGTTGGATTTACTTGATTCAATAATGGACATTGGTTGCACACAAACGTTTTGCTTTGGCAGAAACTTAAACAACTGAGTTAAATCAACTCAACTTATTCATAGTCAATAAACCTGTGCATTTTGTGTTCATAAAACGTGATTGAAACATGTTTAGATGAAGTAAGTTGAGCTCTTGGAATATTTTAATCCTTCACAATTTTGTCATTTTATTTCAACACTATTCAATAACCTTTACCACAGTACTACTTGATCACTTAAATACTACATGTTGACTTCATATTACATAATGTTCAACAAAGTCTAGAGTCTGGTTAACATAAAAGTTGAATGGGTCTACAACAACTAACATCCTCCTATATCCTGGTTGCAGGGGGGCTAGGTTACGAGGCATGGTACACACTGGACAGCTCACCAGTGAATCACATAGAGACAAACAACCGTTTGCATTAACATTTATGGTGAATTTAGAATCACTAATCAACCTAAGCTAACTCTTGTAACTGCATGACTTTTAACTGTGGGAGGACACCAGAATACCCAGAGAGAAATCAGTGCAAACTAGCCATATTGTGGATTTGATTCCAGGACCTTCTTACTGTGAGGCAACAGCACTAACCACCATGTCACCAATCCAGGCTGGACATAAGTAGGAAAGCTATGATTTCAAGGCTTGATGCGGAATTTTCTGTACGTTTTTGTCCTTGACATGCAGGTTAAAACACAATAAAAAGCAATAGCATACACGTTGTGTGTGTGTGTGTGTGTCTGTAGTTGTCTGCCTCTTGTAACTAGTGATTTTCTCCAAAAGTTGATTCTGTTCATCTGGACGTAGCGTTTTGTGGGAGAAACATTTCGTCACTCATCCCACAAAATGCTACGTCCAGATGAACAGAATCAACTTTTGGAGATTTACTTTCCTGGATGACTGAGAATGCATCAAGACGTTCTAGTGATTTTCCTGCAGTTTGAAATCTCATGTGATCTTGTTAATGTTCATGAGTCCAGCAACTAACCACTCTTACTAGATTGTATCAGGTCATCTCAACAAGAACAAATTAAGTTGTTGAATTTCGTACAGATCCTACATGATTTAATTACGTTCAAGATAGAAACATGAAAATTTTGTGTTCAAATTACAAGGTAGACTTTTTTTTAATGTAACAACCACCCAATTTACTTCTTTCGGTTTACCAAAAAAGTAGAGGCAGCTGTTCGACTTGACTGAGATGGATGCCTTCCTCAAACCACGATCCAAAGCGTGCAAGACTGAAATCCCTTGCAGTGTCGCAAGATTTAACATTGCTTTAATTTTATTGACTTACTTCACTCGAACATGATATGAAAAATTTAATCTACCCGCTCTGCATATTATGTAGTTTCTACACTATATAGTTACACTTAACTTTAAACCATGAGGCAATTGTGCTAAATACACGCAAGATGCTTACATAAATCCAAGAGCTGGCCAATCCCTTTTTTTCAGTGTAACATGTGTAAGAACAGGTGCAGTTAGCTGTAAAAAGCAGGAAAAGGTGGATCTAGGTGACTGAATAATGTTCGTCTATGTATGTATGTATGTATGTATGTATGTACGTATGTATGTATGTATGTACGTATGTATGTATGTATCTATCTATCTATCTATCTATCTAATATAAAAAAGAGAAAAGGATCATCCCCTCTCATACTGCAACATTGGATTTGAGCCAGAAAACAAGTTTATGTTTGTTATTGGAGGGGATGGGGGGGGTCAACTTGCTGACATCCTGTTTGATTCATATTCTGTATTTTTATGGCCTAACTGCTCTCAAACGCCCAGACCAGCGTGATATCTGGGACTGTCTCTCTAGTGGAAAAACACAGTTTCAGCCAGAAGCGTGACAACTGTTTCCTGTTTGGGTGATTATTGTAGAAATACTATAATGATTGTTCATGTGAAATCCCTCCCTACTCATCATCATTACGGTATCATTTATTATAATGGAAGCTTGGTGCGGCTTTGACATCACCACTGCCATCAGTTCATTGTTTGTCGCAGATTCCCACTATTTTGAATCAAGTGCACCAGCTCATCGAACGACTCACTGTGCTCCTTCACTGTTATCTGGGCTACTACGGTTTGCAGTAAGCAGTTAGCGTCTCATTCCTCTACATGACGTTGGTGACTGTCTATTTCTGGTGATGAAGGAAAATTGAATGTGCTCATGCTGAGAAACTGCTGAGTGGTGCAGCCAGTTGATTTCGAGCAAGTGAGTACTACATGACTGTTTGCACTCCCCCCAGGGTCCAGTTTGGTTTCTGAAATTCATCACAAAGAAGCTTTTTTCCTGGTGGTTTTGATGCAAACATGCCACACACTGTGGGATGTATGATTAAATGAGATGGGATTAAGTTCAGCTGTTATGAAAAGCTGGTGTGATCCATGTGACAGGGGACTAGACTGTAAGACATTCTGTAGTAGCTTTCATGTTTGTATTTATTTATTTGTTTGTAAATACTGTCCATTTTTGCAGGTGCTGGAGAATCTGGGAAAAGCACAATAGTTAAGCAGATGAAGTAAGTTACAACTTGTGTATCAAACGCCTTCTTCCTGGAAGAAACCTTTATTTATTTATTTATTTTATTTATTTATTTTCTACATTGGTGAAAGACAGTCCCAGCTCCTCGTATAGCTGCAGCACATTTTTATGGGAAAGCAGATCTGGAGCCTCATTGCGCTCCACTCAGGGCCTTTGTGAATAACATTTTAAACAATGGCTTCAGAGGCCGGTTGTAGCCTGGCAGGGCCTGAATAGAGCCCCCCAGTTCCCACATTAGCCATGCTGTATGCTCAGTGAAGCTCAAATTCCAGCATTAACGACAGTACAAGCATTAAACTTTCCTAATGTGCAATTTGCCCCACATTTGTTAAGGCCACATTGTTAACACTGTCAAATATTTACACGGGCTCTAAAATCCTGTTTGGATTTTGTGTCTGTGTCAGGATCATTCATGAAGATGGCTACTCAGAAGAGGAGTGCAAGCAGTACAAAGTGGTCGTGTACAGCAACACCATCCAGTCCATCATGGCCATCATCAGGGCAATGGGCCAGTTGAAGATAGATTTCGGAGACGAGGCGCGAGCGGTAAGCTAACTGCACTGGGTCGACATAAAAGATGACGTTCAAAGAGAGAATTTTACGATGTGAGCAGTTATTCGTGTTGCCAGGATGACGCTCGCCAGCTGTTTGCCCTGGCGAGTTCAGCAGATGAAGGGGTGATGTCCGCAGAGCTGACCAGCGTGATCCAGAGGCTGTGGAGCGATGCTGGAGTTCAGGCCTGCTTCGATCGATCTCGAGAGTACCAGCTCAACGACTCGGCTGCATAGTGAGCACTCACTTCTCCACATAGATATTAGATGAGCTGACACACAGATGACTGCAGTCATAACACAGTCAATATAAATCGGTTTCTCAAGAAAAGTTTTATCATTGCATTTTCTTCGTCACCTGGAGTGTGACAGCTTTGACTAAAAGCTGCTCTCCTGCTTCATGTTTGAAACACAGAGAGGCAAGATGTGTCTTGTTCCTCGAAGTCCTGTGTCGGCTTGTTGCACAACGGACTGCATTCCTGAAACAGGGCAAGAAACGAAGGAGAAACAGGCAAATGGAAATTGCAGCCCTCCGCTGGCGGGCTGTCATGACTCTGTGTCCACACTATGAGAAAAGAAGAGCCTGTAGAGATAGACTGTTTATACTCAACCCAAAAGGAGTCAGTGTTTATCATCCACGAAAATATGAGCCCATATTTAGTATCATTTTGTGGCGTCCTCAGATGTGTGCATGCAGGATGATCTCCGCATGACCAAACATTTGTTACTCTGCATTAAACTAGCATTTTTGGAAATATTTGGTAATAAAAGAAAATAAACAAACAAACATATCATATGTATGTACAGATTTTCAGCAGAGTATTCAGCAGATTCTGTTGTGGAAAGCCTAAAAATGTATTTTACACCCTGCTGAATGCATACTACTTTTTTTCTGTCCCTCAGCTACCTGAACGAAATGGAGAGAATCTGCCAGACAGATTACATCCCAACTCAGCAGGATGTTTTGCGCACACGTGTGAAGACCACCGGGATCGTTGAAACTCACTTCACGTTCAAAGAACTCAACTTCAAGTTAGTACAGCTTCATATTGCTCACAAAGGGCCTCCTTTGGGCAACTTATTGAGCAGCTCTTGTCTATACTGGTTTACTATATTTATAAACATTTACCTAGATGTCTTCATTGTAGACTCAACAGAGCAGTTCCCAACACAGAGAGCGGATTCTACTTCAGGAAATAAGGACTATTTTTAGGCTTTTCTTGTTTATGTTTTTTATGTAAATTGTAATGGTCGAGTGCAAAAAGACTTCCCTGTGTGAAACAGTTACATAACACAAAAAGTATTTGTGTTAATTAAAGAGAGCAATGCCCTGTACACTTCGCAATTCATCCTGCTATTTCAATCAGCAATCACATCATCAGTAAACACTAGTGGGCTTGTTCCAGCGGCACCCGTACATGCCCATGCCATAACACTGCCTCCACTCTGTTTGACAGAGGATGTTTTATGTTTCTCTCCATACTTTTTTCTTCCCATCATTCTGGGACAAGTTGATCCTGTTTTCATCTGTCCAGAATTTGTTTCCCGGCAAAGTCTGTTCTGCTCTTCATGTTCTTGAGTGTAACCAGTGGTTTGCACCTTGTTGTAAATCCTCTGTTTTTCCATTCTTAAAGGTGTCTCTCAATTGTAGACCTTGACAGCTAGCTTGTTAAAAGTGTGGCTGACCTGTTTAGATGTTGCCAAATGTTTGGGTTTTTTTTACCATGGAAATAACTCTGTCATTGTGCACTTTAATTGTGACCTGTTTCAGGTCTTTTGGTGTCGCTGAGCTGGCCAGTCCGTTCCTTTTTTTTACAAATAAAAAGGCTCGCTTTGATCCTATATCTGTATAATAATAATTACAACAACAACAACAATAATAATAATACATTTTATTTAAAAGTGCCTTTCAAAACACTCAAGACAACTTTACAGAACAAATAAGACAAGCATAAAAACAGGAAATGAGCACAATAATAAAACAAAGTTTAAGAGCATGGAGTAGTTATACCGAGTAGGCTATCTTGAACAGGTGGGTTTTGAGGGTGTACTTAAAAAGGGGGAAAGAACTGATGTATCTAAGGTCAGGGGGTAAGTAATTCCAAAGTCGAGGGGCAGAGCAACTAAAAGCCCCCCCACCCACCGGGATGGGATGGAGATCTGTACCAAGTCAGAGAGATATGGTGGGGAGAGAGAATGAATAGCCTTAAATGTGTAGAGGAGTATTTTGAAATTAATGCAGAGTTGAACCGGGAGCCAGTGAAGCTGCTTCACGATAGGGGTGATGTGGTGAGCAGAGGGAGTCCTAGTAATAATACGGGCAGCAGAGTTCTGGACACGTTGAAGTTTGTTGATGAATATACCCTACACACACACACACACACACATGTATATGTACAATATATATATATATATATATATATTATACATATATATATATATATATTAGGGGTGCAACAATACACAAAATTCACGGTTTGGTTCGGTTCGATACTTTGGTGTCATCGATATTTTTTCCATACAAAAAAAACGTTCATGCCTTTTTGTCATTTATTAAATTTTCACGGCACATTCCGCACCACATCTCTGTGCGTTCATCATTTGTTTGAAGCCAGCTCACCTCCTGCAACTACTTTTCCGAGAATACGTGCTTCTTTTGTGGTTCGGACTCCTTCTGACATTTCTTTGGAGGTGGAGGAACATCACAGTAATTGCTTAAAGGAGCTTCTTCGACATCTTTAAGAGTTCTAAACAAATGTCTGTCCTCCTCCTGAAAATCTTATGTATGCAAACACGCGTTGCAACTTCTTATCTTGTGCCTGTTTTTTATTTTGACAGCGAATGCGCACCTGCGGACCACTTATGTGCAGCCTTGGTTATTTCGCTTGTCATATTGCAGCCACAGAAATTCTTTTGTCCATGAAACCATAAAGCTGCACTTTCTTTTTGCCTTATGGTCTGATTTGTCATAACTTTTCCGTTTTGTGGTAAGCTTTTCTTTGGCTGTCACTTCTTCACCCTGACCTGTCTTATTTGGCTCAGCAGAACTAAAATATTGTGGCGAGCTCAGACAAGGAGGAGACGGAGGTGTCGTTTGGTCTTGCTTCCCGTGAGCTAGCCAGGGAGCACAGCCGTTTGTTGACATCTGCAGAAGAACACTGCCGCTAGCTAACTGCTCAGCGCGGCAACAGCACAGCAACAACAACAACAACACACAGGGCGGAAGGACACACCGTCGCAGCGAGAGGGCGTCACCGGTCACTATGGCAACATAAACAAAACATAACTGTACAAACAGAACCCCGAACAGCCCTGACCCACTACATACCCCCCACCTAAGGGGGCAGTCGTCCCCGACGACCCCATTACCCCACACAAAGTCCAGCAAATGTCCCTCGGGTCAGAACATGGGGTGCCACCATCATCCCACTTCTGACACAAATGTGGCGAGCTCAGACAAGGAGGAGACGGAAGTATCGTTTGGTCTTGCTTCCCGTGAGCTAGCCAGGGAGCACAGCCGTTTATTGACATCTGCAGAAGAACACTGCCGCTAGCTAACTGCTCAGCGAGGCAACAGCACAGCAACAACAACAACAACAACACACAGGGCGCCCTCTGACCCCCGAAGGACACACCGTCGCAGCGAGAGGGCGTCACCTGTCACTATGGCAACATAAACAAAACAGAACTGTACAAACAGAACCCCGAACAGCCCTGACCCGCTACAATATGTATCCTGCTGCTTTTACACACGCACTCACATAACGCTCAGCAATTCTCTGCGCGATCAACCTCTCACATGTTTAAGCTTGCTGCGGGAGGTTTCACTTGTCATGTTTGCATAATAAGCTAACGATTGATAAGACGATGTCAGAGGAATTGGTGCGCAAATTATCATCACTCACCAATCAGTGCTGTCGCTCTCTATACACAGTTCACGCGATTGCAAAGTGAAAGCAAAAAACAAGCGCAAATTCAAACGCGATTTCAATATGTCACATATTGACAGTGGCTCACCGATGCCAATGGCATAATTACCCAGCTACATTTCCGAAAGAATGCAAAAGCATTGACATATATTTTTCCTTCCTACAATAGCCTGACGGGCAGGGCAGAGATAGATTTTGGTAGCCCGACTAGAAAAATCGCTAGCCCCGGGACGTCTGGCAGGAGCCCTGTATCTGATTGAGGAATCACTCATCTTTGGAAAAGAGAGTTTATTACAGAGAAATGGCTCTTTCCAAAATAAAAGCTATACTATACGCTTCTTCTGGGCTATATTCTCAGCAGCATATTAAACATATCAGGTCCCCATAAGAAGAATCATGTGCTAACGGCTGTCTAAATGACTCGGGTAAAGTTTGTAGCATGCGTGCTTGTTGTTTTTGTCTGCTTCCACTTGTCTTTGCACTAGGATAATGTCAGCATAAATGTGCAGTCATATTTGTTGTGTTCCCACTAGTGCTGTCAGCGTAAATCTCGTTGAAATGACGTTAACGCCACAACACAGCAAATCTCCGTTAACGAGCTACCGCGGATCGCCCATGCATGGGGCTGGACGGCCAACACGTTAACGAGCTAACTGTGCTAACACACTAGCTCCCACCCATGTAATTGAGCATTGCGTGGCACATCCAACATACTGTTTTACTTTAGTCCATGACGCGCTTACCTTCAGGGTCATACGTCACATGAAAACCAAAATAGTTCCAAACGCCAGATCTCAATTTGCCATGTTGCAAGGAGAGCTTAACTTCTGTCTCGCTAGCTTGCCCTGTGCTCAGTGAATCTGCGTTCGACTACTCCGCCTAGGCTGCACTGTCGTCGGGGACGACTGACCCCTTAGGTGGGGGCTATGTAGTGGGTCAGGGCTGTTCGGGGTTCTGTTTGTACAGTTATGTTTTGTTTATGTTGCCATAGTGACGGGTGACGCCCTCTCGCTGCGACGGTGTGTCCTTCCGGGGTCAGAGGGCGCCCTGTGTGTTGTTGTTGTTGTTGCTGTTGTAACAGCCGTTATGGTGTGGTGTCCCTTTAAGACACCCAAGTCGAGGGTTGATGGTGTCATCGGTGTGTGCCACTGGTCTCTCTGCTCTCTCTCTCTGTGATGGTGTGGACATGTGCTTGCACGCTAGTACATGAGGAGGGACGGATTTTATGTTTTACCTCTCCAGACACCTTTGTTTGCAACGTTATGGGTTGTACGAACACTGTGCGCTATGTTTGTTAAGCTGCAGCCGTTCAACCGGGCTTATATGGTTGATGAAGAGAAGGTATATTAAAGAACACACTGTGGAATCCCCAACGCCAGCGTGAGTGTGTATTCTTTTGGCTACCCTGCTAGGTGTTTTGCCGCCTCCTCTCAACCACTAAACGCAACCCGACGTTACACTGTGCTGTTGCCGCGCTGAGCAGTTAGCTAGCGGCAGTGTTCTTCTGCAGATGTCAATAAACGGCTGTGCTCCCTGGCTAGCTCACGGGAAGCAAGACCAAACGATACCTTCGTCTCCTCCTTGTCTGAGCTCGCCACAATATTTTAGTTCTGCTGAGCCAAATAAGACAGGTCAGGGTGAAGAAGTGACAGCCAAAGAAAAGCTTACCACAAAACGGAAAAGTTATGACAAATCAGACCATAAGGCAAAAAGAAAGTGCAGCTTTATGGTTTCATGGACAAAAGAATTTCTGTGGCTGCAATATGACAAGCGAAATAACCAAGGCTGCACATAAGTGGTCCGCAGGTGCGCATTCGCTGTCAAAATAAAAAACGGGCACAAGATAAGAAGTTGCAACGCGTGTTTGCATACATAAGATTTTCAGGAGGAGGACAGACATTTGTTTAGAACTCTTAAAGATGTCGAAGAAGCTCCTTTAAGCAATTACTGTGATGTTCCTCCACCTCCAAAGAAATGTCAGGAGTCCGAACCACAAAAGAAGCACGTATTCTCGGAAAAGTAGTTGCAGGAGGTGAGCTGGCTTCAAACAAATGATGAACGCACAGAGATGTGGTGCAGAATGTGCCGGGAAAATTTAATAAATGACAAATTAAAAAGGCATGAACGTTTTTTTTGTATCGAAAAAATATCGATGACACCAAAGTATCGAACCGAACCAAACCGTGAATTTTGTGTATTGTTGCACCCCTAATATATATATATATATATATATATATATATATATATATATATATATATATATATATATAACGATGGCCTCTTTCATTTGCACCGACATATTGAGAGTTCCAGGGAACAGCTATCAAATCCGAGTTCAACACTTGGATTCAATCACACATCTTTTATGTGCTTAATTTGTTATAGAATAATGAGAGAACAGGCCTCACCTGGGAATGAAACATCTTTGTAGTCACAGCATCAAAGATGCTCAAAAATAAAATGCTGATAAAACACGATTGAAAAATAAAATTGCTTAGTGGATGCTGTTTTCACAAAATCATAGACCTGGTTTCGACCTCTTACATAACTCACAAATGCTGCTGCTGTTGAGCTCAAGATGACCCACCTTTGTGGCTGTTAATGGAATTACATCGCTTCAGTCCTTTCACATTATTACATTATATAGCTCCTGTACTTATAAATATTGGTAAAACGTTTAGTGTAATAGCCTTCCTGGCCTCCCTTCATTTGTAATCCCATAAAAATGCTCAGGATCTAAAAATGTGTAATCACTCGATTGGTGTTGAAAAACGCGGTGCTCTCTAATTTCATTTCGGCTTCAGCTGAAAATCGTAGTATAGATTAGGCTTGCCTCTCAGGGACTCAGGTGGAGAGCGAGGCACAGACATGAGATGTGAGAGTGCAGACATCAGCGTGCCCCATGTGTGTGTGTTGGTGCACATCCTTGTAGAAAACACACAAAAAGACATCACAACTGTAATATGAGCATGAAAGAGAATGTTTATGCAGTAACTGAATCTGTTTGCGCATGTGTACGCAGGATGTTTGATGTTGGAGGTCAGCGCTCAGAGAGAAAGAAGTGGATCCATTGTTTTGAGGGAGTCACTGCAATCATTTTCTGTGTGGCCCTCAGTGACTATGACCTCGTCTTGGCTGAGGATGAGGAAATGGTAAGTGCACTGTGAAGCGAACACTCCGATTCTGGTCCACTTTATAAATCATAAAGCATAGGGTTTTCTTGTTGGCACACTGTTGGCCTTTTTTACATATCTTATGATAGAAGGAAAGGGAAAGATTGCTTACATAAAATGTGCAGGTAAGCCGACACAGTGTGACAGTGAACTAGATTCTGTGGCTTGTCTGTGTCAGTGATTGGCTGCACTTTCTGCAAGCACAGTAAAGTACGCTATTGTTGGCCTACTTCACTGTTTGTACATGTGGTACATTTTGTTCATAACTCACACAGAGCCGTTGGTTCAGGTCAACATAACTAGCAAGGGGTGGACGCCAGCTGGCACTAACCGGCACCGTGCCAGTCGGGTTTCTCAGTGACGGGACCCTAAAAGCAAAGCAGATTGATGATATTCAGTTTGTGTCAGGTCAAGATGTCCTCTGCAAGAAATGCCAATTAGGGTCACAGTCACATCTGCTCTTTCCTCAGAACCGGATGCATGAGAGCATGAAGCTTTTCGACTCCATCTGCAACAACAAGTGGTTCACCCGCACCTCCATCATCCTTTTCCTGAATAAGAAAGACTTGTTTGAAGAGAAGATCACCAGAAGTCCCCTTACTATCTGCTACCCCGAGTACACTGGTGAGATAAACATTAGTTTATGGAAGGTCTTATATGGTGTAAGCTTTAATGTTTTGAGAAAATATTTATTGTATTTTTATTGTATTTTATGTATTTGCAGCATATATATATATATATATATATATATATATATATATATATATATATATATATATATATATATACATATATGAAGTTTTAAGCTGTGGGATATACTATACTCTTTTAAATAAGTGCATAATTGAACTAGACTGTTCCTAATCAGACAGTCTGTGTATGATGTTCTCTACAAAGAAAAACAGGTATAATTAGGTGATCCAGAGATCGTTAAGGGGATGTTTCTTAAACAATTTATTGTCTTTCACTGTAGGTGAGAGCACATACAAAGAGACAGCAGATTATATCCAGTGCCAGTTCGAAGACTTGAATAAACGAAAGGACATCAAGGATATCTACACACACCGTACATGTGCGACAGACACCAAGAATGTGGAGTTTGTGTTCGACGCAGTAACTGATGTCATCATCAAGATCAACCTGACGGAGATTGGGCTCTACTGAAGCTATGGCTGCCTTTCAGGTCAGCATGCTGAATTAATGCTTGAATATGAAGATAATCATTTGAAGATTTGAGGTAACTTTATTGATTATATGTATCCTCCTGGTACATTTGGATGGGCTGAGATTGGTGTATTCCTAAGTGCATCCATAGGTATAACATACAGGACCTTGAAAATTCTGTGCTGAGGTAGGTTTGCAGTTCACTTTGCTTTGTACTTCATGACCTGGGTAAGTTTCTTTCCAGATGAGCGCAGCAGACAATTTAAAAACTGATCTGGTAGACCGACGCCTTATATCAATACAGTTTTTATATGTGAAAAAAATGCTGGTGGTTATATCCATCTATCATGCACACACTTGCATAGATGATGGATGATGATGGATGCACTGGGTGCAAGTCAGCCGCAAATGCAAATGCAGTCAATAAATTCAAGGTCCAGCATCTTCCTCCAGTGGATCCTTCAGTCTGCTTGTGGATGTAAAGCAGTTTGGAGGAACCAGGGGTCAAACCCCTGCCTGTTACAAGCAGCTTATAAATGTTAATTTAAATTATATTATTTTGATGATAACCTTTTATTTTGGACATTGTGTGAGTGTATATATATATATATATATATACATACACACACACACAAATATGTGCACAAGCAAAATAGTCTGATATTAAGTCGGAAATGCAGTAGAATAAAGCTCGTACATACTTGCTAATCTTACTAAATACTAATACTTAGTACTAACACTTACTAAAAAGCATGTTTTACTTTTTTTTTACTGAATGATGTTTGCTTTAGGTTGCTGTGAGTCTACTGGAAAACTGTTCCACAGTCATGTTCCACAGTTTAGGGTAGGATTGGGGTATTTGTAGTTAAACATGCTGTGTTCTGTAGCCTTGAGCATGCTAGTTCTGGCAGGCTGCTTCTACCAGTAAACAGTTACTGTTGCCTCTGCAAGCCGCTTTGCAAACCTACCTCCTACATTTAGTGCTATTCGTGCCATTTCTGTCTGAATAAATGTCATGTCTGTTGTCACTGATGCTCGAACTGTTTTGGTTTGCTGTTGCTGCTCTCTCTCTTTCACCAGGTGCTTTCCATGTCTTTGTTTATACCTGCAGGGAGGTCCCAGAACAGAGCCATACTGCCTAATATAAATGACTGCTGATAGAACAACACTCCTATTTTTACTATAATGTTCCTGATTGAACTATTAATGATAGCTTTTCATTTCCCTGCAGGTTTCAGAACAGTCAGGACTTCTGGGATCTTTTCTGCAGAGGGAAAATTCAAAAGTAGGCGTCACTAAGGACTACGCTGCAGGACCTAAACTGCGTTAACTTTGGGACTTGCAACTGTTATCACATTTGTCTTAATAGATTTTTAAGATGTGGCGTGCTCTGAGAGGATGAAAGTGGGCAAAGCGTGTGAAATGATCCCTGTCATATTTAAGATCTTTGCATCACTCAGGCAGGTTAATAGTTTCGCTGTCATCTGCACAAGGACCAAAACTGACTGCCTGTTCATCAGATCCATCGTTTCATTTTGCAGTTTTTATGGCTAAAATGTTTATTCTGTTCACCATCGTGTTGCGTTTTGTCTTAGCTGTGGCACATTACGTTACTAAATATTTGCATCTGTTGTATTTTATTTTTAATTTTTACTTTTAGTTATGGAGAATTTCCATTTTTGGGGGGATGCATGAATGACATATCTTATGTATAGTACAAAGTTTTTTGTGATTAGTTTGATGTCAAACATAAAATATAAGCAGTTGGGTCAGGGATTAGTTAGCTGAAGTCTAAGGAACTCAGTAGCCACATCCATATCTGCATAGGTGTTTGTCTGTTTGTTTGTTTGTTTGTTTTATTTTAACATGAACACATTGTACTGAACATCTTTATTGAAATCAGTGAGTGAAGGGATTTGATTTTGATGTGCTGTTTTGTTTTTCATTGATCTTGCAATATAAATATTATGTAGCCTTTAAAAGGTCGATGTGCCGTCTTGTGAATACTAGTAAAGAAATATAAAAACTAAACTGAAACTGGGATAATAGTTTGATGAAGGCATTTAGATGCACACAGTACATGAAGACTGAATACTTAGGAAGACTGCTGCTGTATATTCTGCAGTAGAGCACAGTCCTGCACAGCCTGGTCCCAAAAGCAAAGTTCATCAAAGGTTATTACTGATTGGCCACATGATTAAAACCACTGAAGGTAAAGTGATGACATTTTCTGGTAAAACCCTGGATCCTAGGATTCATATAGATGCTATGTCAACATGTATCGCCTACCTAAAAACATTGCTGCAGACCAAGGATCAAGGAAGTAGCCTCCCTCCAGCGTGCACCACCTAAATTATCCTTTGAACCTCCAAACGTCTTAGAAGTTCACAACAATAAGACTGATTCAAAAAGGACCCACCCTGCAGTCTACAGGACCCAAAGAACACCATAATACATCTGCAGATGTCTTATGTCCAGTGTGTCAGAGCTGTATATTGTTAGGCAGGTGTCCGATGGACGTATAGCTCACTTGAAATCTGAGCAGTTGTACTGGCCCTGTTTTAACCTCATAGCTCAAAGCTGTCTGACTGTTCTTCTGGTTTAAAACAAAATAACAGGCAACACTAACCAGATGCTATCCACTGTAAACCATATAGTCATATTCTCACCGAAACAGAGCAGAGACTGAGGTCATTCAGGTTGGAAACAGTATTTTTAGACTTCGGCGACACATCTGTATGTTTGGAGCTGAGGGTCAGTGTGTTCCAGCTGCTGCACACACAAAACAGCTCAAATTGTCTTTCTCTGCTGTCTCTGCTTGAGAGTAAAACCATGAAATAAACTCAAATGAGATGCAAGCTACGAGTCAACATGACAGCACACAGGAAAAGACTCTTTGAGACAAAATGTGCAATTTTTTATGTTCAGTTTGCAGGATATAGGTTGTGACATTCTAAAACTTCATGTTGTCAGCAGGTAACATCAGACTAAAGCCAACAATGTGTTGGTCCATCGCTCCACTTGTGTTTACTGCCTAAAGCACTCAGCCTCATTTGTTCCAACCAGAGCTGTTAATCTTTAAAGAAAATTGAGAATCGGTTATATTTTTTAAGAAGGCTTTGCGATGACTCACTCGTGTGTTTTTAATAGTTAATTTTGTTTTTTTGCTTTATAGATGAACATCACTTTGATCTTTTCCTTGGCTTTAGTGACAATGACATACAGATGAGGACAGAATTATTACCCCCCCCCCCCCCGAGCAAGGAAATTTTTAACACAGTTTCCAATACAGCTGCAGATGTTTATTATTTTACTTTGCACACAGAAACAAAATTATTTCACACAAACCAAAAACTACCAGAGTCTAAATTATAATCTTTCTCTAGGTTGTTCTTAGCATGCTACAGTCTTACTTGAAAGTGTCTCTTCTGCAGAAGTAGAATTGTTTTTGGTCTGCAGCCTTACAAGCCTCACATGCAGTGCATTCCTGTGGAGAGCTCTAGTGATTGTCTTAGTTGAGACTACAATTCCCAACTTGACTAAATCATTCATGAGTGTGTTGACGGTTGTTCTGGGGTCTTTAGACACATTCCTCACTAGTTTTCTTTCCAGAGTCTTTGAAATCTTTTGCTTCCTACCTCTGCCAGGCTTGTTCTGTTTTGGGTGCCACTCTCTGAATTTCTTCATGATTCTTGACACTTGGAAACTCTGCAATAACTTTGCATGTCCATCTCCTGCTTTGTGAACATCAACAATTCTTTTTCTCAAGTCTAAGCTGATTTCTTTTGTTTTTCCATGATGTTTTCCAAGTGACAGCAAAAACTCTTGCTGAAGTTTTTATACTGTGTATAAACTGGACAATAATCTTCAGTTTTAACTTGATTTTACAGGCTAATAATATTGAACCTGGTATTTTTTTTTCTAAAATAATTGTGTTATTGTGTGAAAATAGACCTAATTCATGCTTTCATGTTTAGAAATGCTATGTTGAAAATCCCTTGCTCTGTTAAAAAAAAAGAACTTTTGACAAAACCTTTTAATTTCATAGGGAGGATAATAATGTGATATTTATCTGTAACAATCTGTTGGCATTCTCCGGCTGTTTGAACAGAATCATACTCTCCATTGATTTGGAAATGCTAATATATCATGAGAGACAAAAAGGAAGCAATCCCGCTCACTCAAGTCAAACCATAGCTCCTCTTTTAAGCTCCAGATATTGTTTACACTGTGTTTTGCCCTTGCTTGCTGTCATGCCTCGTGTATCCGTCCCTGCACAATCTTAGAGCGAATCTCACCCAGCAGATTAATTACCGCTTTAATTTGTTTTGCTCTCTCAATAGGGTTATTGTTAATGAACTTCCCTACGCTGCCATTTCCCCTTTGACTGGATTAGGGAAATTATATAACAGCAGCATTGTCCCTACAAGTAACAGCCCGAGCTGGTCTGTCAGTGTCAGCATGCCTGTTTCGCTAATTCAATATACTGTAGTGACAGTGTGGTTCTGCAACGAAGACACGGACACAAAGGTGAAGTTAATGCGTCTTTATTTCATGCCTCTACATTTCATAAGAAAGGACAAACTCTGTAGATTTTTCAATCCCTTTTTATAATGAAGCATCGTCCCTCTAGTGTTTCCCTCTGTCATAGATTATCTTTCAAAATATAATGCATTATCTACTCTTATGTACAAAGTTTCTCTACCATGTTTGATGTCCTGAAAATTATTCATCACATTAAAATGTTAAGCGAAATGAATACATCAACACTATGTAGTTACATGTACATTATTTTGCACTGGGAATGGGATATTTGCTCAGCAATTTACACAGTTTAATTATCAAGACCACAGAGACTACTGTACTCAAAATAAAATAAAATAAAATTGAGATGTTGCTATTCAAAATATTTATAAATCCCAGAGTTATTGTTTTATTTTATTTAGTTTATTTTACAGAGCTTGGCTTTAATAGTAAATAAAACTCATGACACAGAAGTCAAAGGATGGAATCAGCAACTATTTCCTGTTCTTACCATCAAACTTTCAGCTTTTGGTGTGAGAAAAATAGCGTAGTTTAGAAAAATGAAAGAGTCTTGTAGAAAGTTGTGTGTCCACGATGTTGATATGGGTGCTTGATACTTGCTTCAACCCAGCTGGACATGCACTGTGTTGCAACACAGGGGTGTGTAACTGTTGGAGATGATGAGGTGCTAGGATCAGTCAAGGGTCGTGTCTTGGCATGGAAGCGATGGTGTAAACACAACAATCTGAGGATCCCTTGTGCTCCATCTTTAGCGCTCCTTAGTTAATGCCAATATATGAGGGGTTAAGGTAGGAGAGGAATTTCTGCAAAGTGGAGAAAGTGATAAACATGAACTAATTCTCATAAATCATACATGAAATATTTTACTGTCAGTCTTTTCTGGAATGTGAAACTGATCATATCAAGCCACTGAGGAACTGCTTTTTGCTTCTGATTATCTTCCTCATCCTCAACAGCCTCAATTGGTCCAAACTGATTATTTCTCATGCCGTTGCTTGGCAATGTAGGATGGCCAGACATGATGAGGTTAAGTTGATAAAGCTGGGATCTGATCTTGACTCTATTAGTCTTCACTGACACAGGCTCTGGGAGCAATGTGGCGTGCTCCCTACGTACCTTCTTTCCACTCTGCAGCTGCTTAGAAGAGACCGCAATCCTTAAGGTTTTCTTTGATGATGATGTCTGTCACAGCGTTGAACACAATTTCCACGTTTCTTGTGTCTGTGGCACAAGTCAAGTGAGAGTAGATTTCTTTCACGCCCTTCTTCATGTTCAGCTCCAGGAACTGCGACTTGATGTAGTTGCTGGCATCGTCGTATGTGTTGGGGCCTAAAAGAAAGCAATTGATCAGGGGAGAAGGTTCAGAATAATTACTTGTGTTATATGACGTGACAGGTGACGTATTTGCATCGCGGCTTACGTTATAAGTTAATTTTCCTTCTTTATTGCTATTTGTGTTCTGGTGCCATGTACCAGTCTGGTTTCCATCTCACTGTTTGCCTGACAGATGTGGCCTACTGCTAAATTCTCCTTCTTCAAGCCTGCCACATGCCACAGGTATAACTGAAATCCAAAGCACGCGATCTTACCGTCGTAGTCTGGGAAGCAGATGCTCAAGTGGACTTTCTTGATCTTCTCTTCAAAGAGATCCTTCTTGTTGAGGAAAAGCACGATGGAGGTCAGTGCAAAGAATCTGTGGTTGCAGATACTGTTGAACAGATGGAGGGACTCGTGCATACGGTTCTATAAAAGTTAGAGTGAACGCAGAGTTACTCACTGACAAGTTTCTTTGTGGTCACTTAGGACTTAGGACTAAGACTCCTTGACTCACCACTTCATCGTCCTCTACGAGCACCATGTCGTACGCACTGAGAGCTCCGCAAAAGATGATGCAAGTCACACCTTCGAAACAATGGATCCACTTCTTTCTCTCTGACCTCTGGCCACCCACATCAAACATCCTGTTCACCACAGAAAGTCAGAACACACTCACTAAGTACCTGTGAACCGCAGACATGTAAGCTTTAGCCAGTTTCCCAGTGACTCACCTGAAGTGCAGCTCTTTGCAGGAGAACTGCTCTTCAATGATACCAGTTGTTTTGACTCGAGATCGCAGCACATCCTGCTCAGTGGGCATGTAGTCTGCCTTGCAGATTCTGTCCATTTCATTGAGGTAGCTGATGATTCCAGAACAAACAGTACAGCAGTCAGTCTTGGTATATGAAATCATCTGTATTTATAAAGTCTGCATGAGCTGACTCTTTAGATTTACACATATGACATCGACTCACTAGCCAGCAGAGTCATTGAGCTGGTACTCAGCAGCTCTGTCAAAGGCGGCCTGCACTCCAGAGTCTTTCCACAACTTCATGATAACATCAGCCAGCTCAGGAGGCATTGTGCCTTCCTCTATAGAGTCTGACAAGTTTTGCAGCTTCTGTGAATCCACCTGTGGTTTTGTGCACACAGAATAAAACTCCATCAGCATGGACAAAGTGCTTGGAATATTTATAGTGCAACATTTAATGTCAGGGAGAATGAACTCAACAAGTTTATCATGTCTGGTTTTTATCTCTTAAGTGTAACTTGAGACCTGTCCAGATGATGCGCCAAAATCAATGCCAAGCATCTCCATGCCTCTGATGATAGCCAGAGCAGATTGCAGGATGTTGCCAAAGATGATCGCTCTGAACTCCAGTTGTTCCTCTTTTGTGTAACCACCTTGATGCAAAATCCTGCGAGCGAGTAGAAGAGTGGGGGCAGAAGTGTTTTAACTCAGGAAAAAACTTTCTCAACAATAACTACTTTAACTGAGCTGATGGGCAGAAAGAAAACAGCCGAGAGGGAGAGGGTGCCACCTTGTGGTGTCTTAGTGATCTCCCTTTGGTTTCACTGCCAAAGTTTAACCAAGTGCACAAAAGAAGTGCTGACGAATTAGTAAGCGGATGTTTGCCTTGTTAAGCTTTCGTAAAGGGCTTCACTGCAAATGAAACAGACAGAGATTGAAGAGCTTTAGCCAAATGGTCGAATTCATGACTGATGGGATTAATAAAAGCTCCCGAAAAACTCCAAATTCCCATTGTCTACCTGTGACAGTGAATGACTCAAAGCTACCATCAGCACTTATTTTAACGCTTACTTCATTTGTTTAACGATGGTGCTCTTCCCCGACTCACCAGCACCTGTGGAAAAGAGAACAAAGGTTAAGATCCTAAATTTCATACTATGAAGATATTTTACTTTGCAAACACAAGACAGTGGGCAGATAAAAACACTAAATGTAAATATATTGCATAAGAATGCCAGGTGCACTGATATATAAGTGAAGAAAATACAATAGAAGTAGGATGAGAAATGCAAAGTGGAGGAGATGGATTTTAATGTGCATTGATACATCTCTGATGTGTTCTGACTCTCAGTTTCTTGCAAAGCTTTTTTGTTTTAACACAGGACACCGAACTAGCCAAAGCTTAGATAACAGAAGCAGCAACGCCACAGCTCTCATAGGAGTTTTTCCCCCTGCTAAACTATAAAAAAAACTCCCTTATTTATTATTATTATTATTATTATTATTATTATTATTATTATTATTATTATTATTTTAAATCTCACCCACTAATGATTAGCACTGAGCTTTTGTCGGCAGACATCACCAAATGTTGGACGTCTGACATAAAAACACTGAAACCAGCTAAAATGACAGCAAGTTGCAGTAAGTACATGCATGCATACATAATGAGTGGCGTGCATTTATGTAAAATTGACTGCAGAAAAGCCTCCCTGCAGATCAGGCTCCCTCCAACACTGTAAGCTAAGTTAGGCCAGAAGGAGTTTATGCGTCACAGGACACCCAAAGCTGACCGTCTTGCTCCCACTTGAGCCACATCACTTAAGCCATGGACAGACTTAGTGCTGAGCATTTAAAACCTTTACACATGCGGCTCTAAAGGAGGGAAGTTGTTTTTTTTAAAGAAAATACAAATCCACGAAAATATAGAATATCAACAGTGAAATCACAGCCATTTCTAATATGCAAAACTGTTTGGAAAAATTTACACTCAAGGCCTATATTTTGTTGTTACTGAGGTTTTTTTGTTTTTGTTTTTTATGTTACGTTTTTGCTTGTGTATTTTTTTGTTTACTCCCTTGATGGCAGAATCATCACAAAATTTGTTGTCAGCCAGTTTTATTACTTACGGACTGAAAAAAGTTCATTAAGACATCTAAAATGCTTCAGCTGTTACTTTCACCATTTAGCAGACAAGTTGCTCGCTACTGAAATCAGCTGCAAGCCTGTGGAGCTGTAATAAAACAGAGTTTGGGATCCTCTATGGTCTTTTTTTTTCCTGTTTTCACAATATCCCCCTGAGACCACGTGATGGCTCTCTTCTTACCTGCCCTTACAATCTGATCCATGTGCAGCAGAAGAAGCAACATCTCTGTAAATCACTTGCAAGTCTATATTAAATCGCTGACTAGCTTTTCAATCGCAAATGATATAGCAATTTAAAAAAATTGCTGTCAGAAAAACACAAACCACTTTCAAGACTAATTTGTACAAATGAACAGCTTAGGTTCCCCCTGTAGAAGTATAAACGTTTGTGAGTTATTTTTGCTGATTTCTCAGAACAGAACACATTTTATACATTTTGTGCGAGCTGCAAGTCAACAAAGATCTCACCAAGTGGATCTGCACTAAACTGGTTAGTTAATAGGATTGACATATCACTGCCAGGCTGTGATTCATTTAGACCAAAGGCTGTGATCTTTTAAGCACCAATGTCCTTCCATCAGAAGTGAAGAGTCATTTTTAAGTAAAAGTCAGATGATTATTAGTTCTTTTCACCAGTAGATTTCTAAATGCAATATGTTATTTTAAATTCC